GAGTCCAGGCCCCTGCCTGAAAGGCAGAAAGTCAGCTGGGGCCAGCTTAGTACAGACAGTCAAATGCTAGGGACAGTAATTACACACAAACTGGTTTAAGTAATCAGAAACCAGTTTTAGCGCTTAGCAGAACCTAAGTTCAGTGCACATAAACTAGTTTCAGAATAGCTGAAAATAGTTTAAGGTGCACCTGGTTGAATGTAGTATCAGACTTAATGGATTTAGGTCAAACCAGTTTATGAAACTTTTGTCCCAGGCCCCTTCGTGGTTCAAGGTAAATCAGAGTCCCGCAGCATCCCAGCATGCTTTCCAGCCCTGTATTGGGCTATGCTGTCTGCTCCAGAAAGCAGTGCTGGCTCTGCCCCTCTTCTCCCTAGCTGGGGCAGTGAGTGCTGGCTCACTGCTTGCCTCAGGCAAACCGTAGCGGGGGGCCAGGGTGAGGGGTTAAATTCACCTTCTCCAGAATACAGCTGTGCTGCCCTGCTAGGTGCTGGCTGCGACTGTGGTCTACAAATCCCAGAGGCACCTGGAAACAGGAAGAGGAAGTGACAAGCAACCCTGTGGAGTCCTGGGGCTCTGATGCTGGACTGCAAATCCTAGAGACTTGCAGAAATGAAATGGAGAAACAACTGGACAGACGTTTACTTTCGATTCAGGAAATGCAGCCACATGCTTGCAGTGGTTCAGGCCAGCAGCTGCTCCCTGCTGCCCCTGAGATCTCTGAGATTTGCAATCCAGAATCACAGAAGCAGGACTCTGCAGGGTTGCTTATAAATTCCTCTTCCTGCTTTCAGGTGTCTCTGGGACTTTTAATCCACCGTTGCAGCCAGAAGTAAGTTTTTTTGTTTTTGTTTTTTGTTTTTTGTTTAGCAGAGCAGGGCAGCTCTGTAATCAGAGGAAGGGAAGTTTAAGCCCCCTTCCTGACTCTAGACCCCATCCAAGGTTTGCCTGAAGGGGCAGTCCTTGGCTTCCCCTCCCCCCCCCAACCCCTTTTCTGCTGGAGCAGACAGCACAGCCAAGCCCAGAGCTGGAAAGCATGCTGGGGGACTGATTTAACTTGAACCAGGAAGGGGTCTGGGACAGACGTTTCATAAACTGGTTTGACACAAATTGGTTAAGTCTGCCAGTACAGTCAACCGGGTTTATCTTAAACCAGTTTTAGCCATTTTGAAACTGGTTTATGTGCACTGAACTTCTGTTATAAATTTAAACCAGTTTCTGATGAAGTTTAAACCTATTTTTGTGTAACTTCTGTCTGTAGCCCTCAAGTTTAGTTTTCTTTGCTCCTACTAGCATGCAAGTTGATGTGTTAGTTAATGTATTAGTTAAAGCATGTTAACTGTGGCCTTCTTACAATGCAACTTTAAGTCATAGTAAATACCTAGGGCATTTTTACATGCGTTTTGGGATGCAGTGCCGGGTGCTTTAGTTACTGAGCTGTGTTAATTAAAAGTGCCTGTATGTCGCATGTATCAGTGTCTCCATGCTGAAAAATGGCAGCGAGGTGCTTTGAACTAAAGCTCATTGACCATGTTTTATTTCAAAACACTATGCCACCATTTTTTCAGTGCGAGGATGCATGGGGACACTGATACACATGATGCGGAAGGTTGCTGGAGTGCATCAGTTTCTGTGCTGCAGCAGATTTGGTTAATTGAGTCTGCTCTGATGCGCTGGATATCCAGCATGTCAGAGCAGTCTCCCTGCGCATCTGTAAGAGCATCTAGCTCCTGGTAACTCTTGGGTTGGAAACCACTGATCTTGACAAAGCTAAGCTGAAAGCCAGAAGGGCCGCATGTCCTGCCAGAGAGAAGGGAAACTCGATGAGTGGGAATACTGCAGTCCTCTTAAGTTGCTAGGAAGGCAGAGGTGTAGAAGGAACTCTGCATCAGATGTCACTACACGTATGAGATGTTTGGAATATAACAGCTTGTATTTGGCTTGGATACTGTCGGTGACTGCCTTGTAACCACTGTTCCCAGGTACACTGGTAATACTGGTGGCCATGTCTACACAAGACGCTGGCTGTGTAGTCATTTAGTACTTGTTTATACCTGAGTTACTGTGCAGTAGCACCAACAAATGGCTTTTTTGTGCTGTTGACTGCAGAGTAGACTGAGACTACTGTACAGTAGCATTGCATCATGGTTTCTGCCATGCGATGCTACTGCTCAGTAGTCTTGGGCTACTGTGCAGTCAGCGTCTAATGTAGACCTGGCCAGTGTGTCCTAAAGCACTGAAGTCTAATGCAATTCCTGGACTTCTGTCAGTGAAAAAGACAAAAACCTTTTTCTATCTGTGGGGTAATGATTAAGTATGATAAAAATGGGAGCGCAGTATTTTGTCCTAACAAACGAGGCTTTTAGTCGAGCTCCTAAAATCCTGTTATTTGATTACACTCGTCACTGAATCTTGTATTACTAAGACTGTGTGATGTATTTTACAGTACAGTGAAAAGACACAATCGTTTCCCTTACACATTTGAATTGGATATAATGCAACAACTTGTTAACAAGATTTTTACAGTGGTAGGAAAAGGATTTTGTAGGATAAGGAGACTCAACATCTATAATAATATATAAATAAAGAAGGTTAGGATGCAGGATAGTTTATCAAAGGGTTTAATACATGAGCTAATTTACTTATTTCCCATCTTGGATGTTGCAGAAGTGTGTCTTAAGTAGGGATGTGAATAAAGAGAGGCTGCTGGTCTGGCCAGGCACACACAGGTGGTGGATCTAATTTGTGGAAGGAGCACACAAACAGGATAGTGGGGGAGTGGAAGAGTGAAGAACATAAGAGTCCAAACTGGATAAGTAGGAAGGTGTAAAATTTATAGAGTACCTTGTGAGTGAAGCTTATAATGCAGTGGAAAGGGGGTATCCAGTGCAGGGACTGATGAAAGAGAAAGATATCGTGATCGGCTCAGTGGACCAAGCCCTGGGGTTACTCACTGAGAAGCAGGTGCTTTGTGCTTGCTGAAAAGGCCCCTGCCCCTAGCTAACAATCCAAAGAACACAAGTGATACCCCAACCACCATGTTAGCACCTGATACAGACTGGGCCCTGTGGGAGTCATGGCTGTGTACAGGAATTATCTTACCTCTGGTTGGGGAAGGTAGGAGACAGTTTTATTCCCAATACCAAAATATCCCTAACAGGAATTCTGCAGATAAGTTACTGTACAGAAGCCTTGAATCGTTTGCTGGTGTTGAACAGTGTTTGCCTAATTTAATTTTTCTGCCCCCTTTCCTCTAGACTACTATCCTAATAAAGGCAGAAGCAGATTTTTAACCTAGGCCAGTTATTTTATGTGTGTACCTCACTACTGATGAACCCCTGCATTTATTGTACTTTAGGCTCAAGTTCAAGGCCATAACAGAAGTGCTTATGGTGTGGCCCTGTCAGATTCCAATGAACCTGTGAATTCTGTTACATAGCTTTTCACAAGGACATGGAAAATGAGAAGAATGGACAAGGGAAATGATTAACAGGGTTGTTTTGTATAGGGTAGTCCAAGAATTTCTGCTCGTTTAGGTGACAGTCCATTCTGCTCACTTGATTTCAATAGTCTGTTCTGAAACAATAAGATGGAAGTACAGTATTCTTTAAATTATTTTGGATCAGTAAGTTCTTAGTGTTCTGCTTCACAATGTGCTTCAGGTAGCGAAAGCAACTGATGAAAATTAAGAATATTTCAGGAAGAATGAGTTACTGAAATCTAATGTACAGGAAAAAATCACTGAATTGCAGAGATAGATATATTTAATATATGTACCAGTTATGCCTCTGTTATCATCAAGTGTCATATATAATGATAAAGAAGATCTGCCTGAGAGAAATTGATGGGAGGGAAAAAAAGCTTTACATTTCATGAAGGATAATGTCAAGAATGATAGAAAAGATCTTTAGGTGAAAGATCTTGTCATTGAAAAGATATTGACATCTGTAAGGAATTCAGGTGAAAAACATGCTGATGGTTTATTTTTGCAGAATTGGTGCTTGCCACTTAAGTTTAATTCTTTATGAAGTTAAACCTCTGTCTGTGACAGAAATTCAGCTTGCAGAATTTTTTCATTAAAAATACTTGGAATACCTTTTATAATAGAAATAGTCAGTTTAGCACTAAATTGTTTCCAAGGAATAATGACCAATAACAAATTATAATACTCTGTAACTCTTAAACATTCTTTAGTTAGGAAGACTGAACCAACTTGTTTCTAGTAATACTTTACAATATCTTCCTTGAAAAAATATTCCCCACAGTCATGCTGGATGACTTGCAACTTGAGGGAAGCCGCAATCAAGTTTTACTCTTTGTATGTAAGAAAACTTCTATTAATGGGCTGAAGTGGAGCTTTTCCCTGCCCAGTTAGACCCATTTTCCCATAACTGCAGGAGTGGGTCTGACTGAGCAGGAAAAGAGCCACAGAGATGGTAGAGGTCTGCTGCAATAAAGCAGCAGAGTCTGTCTATTACCACCTTCTGTTGTGCCATTTATTTTCCTTTCATGTGCCGTAATGAATGGTATTAACGTCTGTTTGCTTAGCACTTGTGCCACCATCAGGTGATGTCTTTTTCCACACTATGTGCATTGTCATTATACTTCTTGTCTGTGGCTATTAAAAGGGGAAGTGGCTGGATGGTGCCTGTGATCTGTACATATGAGATGCATATGCTTCTAACTGAGCATAAGCCATCAGTTGATTAACGGCTATTCTGTGGCCTATATACGATGTTGCTATTTTTTTTTAAGCGCTGAAAGTTTGCTTGATGTTTGGCGTGATTCACATGTAGCATTATTAATCCTAGAAGTTAAATCATGAGAAGGATCTCCTTAACCTTTTAAACTTGACCCACATTTATTAATAATTTTCAGTCTGTCATCTGGAATCTTTTAATTTGTGATAGGAGTTGGGGCAGAAGTTAAAATTACAGTGCTGTCAGTTCTTGTAAATTTTAAGTGCAGCAATTTCACCCTCTGTTACAGGAGTTCCTGCTAGAGGACCAAGTTGTGATTTGAAGTTTATTGGTCTGAGTACCCTACAAACCTAGTAAGAGAAAGTCCTTGCACTGAAGAGTTTTTTTTTAAGTAGTGTGAATTACAGTGGTGAGTTTTTATGTATTGGAGGGAAGAGGGATTCATCCAATTCATCTACCATCATCCATTAGATGAATTCAGCTATTCTAGCTGGATTTACCTTTGGATATGATCTCTCTGAATAGAATCTGTATCCATGTATGTTTATGTTGCATGACTTTTTATATTTCTGATTATAGAAAAAAACACTTTTCATTAATAAATACTGGCTGATTTGTTTTAATGCATTATACCAGAAATGGAAAAGAGAGAATTGGGCTGATATGGTAAAAATACAAGGCAACAAATAGAGAGAGAGACAATGGAATGAAAGGTCTTGAATGTTCAGGACAAGAAGGCTGACCTTGATATAGCAGACAAATGATCACCTTTGCAGACTATCTGAATTAGGTGATATAGTCATGGTAACAAGTAAGTGTAACGTTTCTTGCAATTGTGTTTGTATAGAATGCCAGGTATTATCATGTTAGGAGGATATGAGAAACTGAAGTTTTCAGAAGCCAATGTAAGCAGCTTAGATATGAAATAATGACTAAAGCATTTAAATTAGAGGTGCACCGATGCATCTGGCCAATATCAGATTGGCACTGATATAAAGAAAATTGAATGTATTGGAAATTAGCCTGATGTGGCTGATAATTTGGCAGATAAATGCGTGTGCACAGCCATAGTGCAGTACGTAGGCAGTAGGGAGCACAGTCCAGCAGTGTGGAGAGCTGTGTGCAGCTGGTAACTCTGTTGTGGTAGAAGGGGAGGGTGGAGGGAAGGGGTGTGGGGGGGCAGATCAAGGTCCGTGCAGTGAGGGAGGGAGGGAGTGGGGTGCAAG